AAAAAAAAAAAAAAAAAAAAAATGTTTATAAGCATTGAAATACAAAACAGAGTAATAGGCAACAAAATATATGGTAATTCTAACACAGAATTTTTTGTGTATTGGTATTATCAAAGTTAGAGGAACATACAGGATATATTTGATATTTAAGTCACTTAATTTAAAGCGTCAATCTTATTACCTATAATTATACATATGATATACAGAAATTCATGGAGATTATGAGATACAGGATTAAAATGTTTTACCTTGAAAACTTTGGTACATTGGCACCATATTAGTAGTAAGCAATGCTTCAGAATATATTTGACTTGAACCTTTATTTAGTTCTACAAAGAAAACAAAAAGGTTTTGTTTCATTCCTGCCCAATAACATTAGAAATTGTAGTTTCTCCTGGAGGGCATTTAAAAAGATTAGCTGAGTATCATCTTATACCTGTAAAACTTTCCCAGGTACTGTGTCAAGAGAAAATGCAACATGGCTTGGTCAAGTCCCTTTTAAAAAAATAAGATACCTGGATCTTTTCTTCAAGATGTAATTATCAAAGGAACAAAAACTTTAATAAGGGCCTCAAACTAAACATATTCAAATTTTACCTTATTTGCCTTATTACAACTGAAGTGTATTGTGTTGACAACCTCCTTTGGTTTCACCGTGAAAAGAAAAAAGAAAATATCTGCTTCAGAACAACACCTACTCCAAGAAAAAATATCACAGGATGTCTGCCTTGAAATGCTGTACAAGGTTTTTTTTGTACGGATTTTCAGCTTGGACCTGGTCTATTTTTCTAATGCAATAGCCAAGTTCTGACTTCAGACACTACTCTGAGGACTAGATTGCATATTGAGGGCACTTAAGCACCTGGAGCCCTCCAATTTTTGCATTCCAAAGCCAGCCTCAAAATGTCTTCTCATTAACATACAAACTGAACATGCAAAGAAATAGAACCCTTAACTTAAAAAAAAAAAGCCATTCCCTCAGAGCTCCCTATCAGTGAAAGAGAAAACACACATCCCACTTCTCTCTAAAATATAAATTTATATTTTTCTTTTTAAAGTACGAAATGATACCCCCTTCCTGAGAACCCTGATACCTCCTTCAGACTTCAGAGTTCTCTCAAATTCTGTTTAAAAGAAATGCAGAAAAATGAAGAATGTCCTATCTGCAGTGTCTGTACTAAATCAACTACCTTCCAAACAAAAGTAAACAGTTTTCTTAAACTCAAGTTTTAGATGCTTTAAAATTTTCCATAATAGTTATGCTTTTAGTTTACAATTTTCACCAATAAAAACATGACAACGTACACTGCCCCAGAAGAGAGAAAAGGGAAACGAAGGACAGGAAGGAAGAAACTTACGTGGTGGGGTGAGGAACCCGTAACTCAATTTAGGGGTATTTTTATAAAATGAACACTTATGGACAGGGCTAAGGGGAATTCGGAAATCCTGGTAAAGACAGTTGGAAAAGTCTTCTGGAGAGAAATTGTCCTGAAGAACAAAACAAAAAGAACCATCAGGCACATAGAAGAAAAGGAGACTGCTTAACAAACAGCTAACGTGAACTATGTCACAAAATTAGGGAGCTGTACTGTCTGTTCAGGTCCTGTACCATCCCATTTTTCTAGCTGTGCAATATTTCTTTTTTTTCTAACTGATGCGTAATCTTGCTTTCCAATACTAAGGATATTAGTCAATTCTCATATGTGTGCAAATATTTTCCATTTAATGCCATGCTAAGTTTGTTTCTCATGTTTTTGTTTACTCAAGTTCAAACTTGTACCTAGTAAAAATGCTGATTTCTAGGGATCTATGTCTATCTTCCATCTTGATCAGCTACAAAGGCTAAAGGGGAGAGGGGAGAACCACAGAATACAATGCAGTGAGAACCTCAGCTGTAGCAATTAGTGTGCATTTCTGCAACTTTGATTATGTAAAACAACTGAAACTTCCAACACAATCAAAGAACACCATACTTAAAGTATTAAGCAACAAGAAATAAGATGGGAACCCACAAAACATTGTGTGCACTATAAACATAAGTGCACAAAATACAGTGTTCGAATACAGCCTGCAAAAAATTTAAGAAGTCGAATTTAAGGTAGAAACTTTATATAAATATGTCAATATGTGTAATATGTCTCTTTCATACAGAAATTACATATATATATATACATATATGCACATATTCCTACCTTTTATTTAGCAATCTCAGTGAGTATTAACAATAGTTTTATTTTGTTTAATCCAATTGCTACCGTCAGCTAAGCTCTTTTAAATCCCTTTTCCTTCTCTTAAGAGAATCTGGTAGCTTGCAGACACTTTCAGTTGCTGAAAGTCTGGTCAGTCTGGTTGAAAACTTCAATTCCATGTAGTATCCAAATGTCTCTTCCCATTCTCTCTCTCAAGCCCTCTCCCCTTTATCATTTCTCTTTCCACCATGGCATCCAGAGGGCTGGGGTGAAGGAGAAAGGTGGTCGTCTTACTCTGGCATCTTTGTTCCCATTCCTTTCCAAGCCTACCTCGTCTGGTTTGGGCAACGGAACAGGCTCTCCAGCCTCTCTCCAGTTTGGGCTGAGGGTCTTCCCACCGATGGACCATGCAGTAAGCTTTAGTGGCCCTCTCCATTAGTGAGGGCCCTCTAAGGTTTGGGCAGCTGAGGGAAATGCTGTCCTCACACAGTTATGTATTCAGAACTGAATAATTGAGACTGATTGTAAAACTGATTTCATGAAATTGTAAATTAGATATTAAATATTAAATAAAATACATAAAATAAAGTAAAAAAGTATTAAGACCAAAAAAAAAGCTTTATCGCACATCCCCTCTTTTCACAGTCACATATCTTGTCAGTGGCAGAGCTAGAACTGGAAACTAATTTTTCTGACTCCCAGTTCAGTCATCCTCTATTTGGAAAATGATTATAGAGCCAAGATATAACAGTGAGAAACTATGCTTTCAATGTTTTGCTTAATGATAATTCGAAATAATTACACATAGCTAAGGTGACAAATACTTGCATTTCTGTCGACGGTGTAGGATGTCCAAAGGGGCATTAGGATGTCATGGCTGTAACCACTCACAAAGTGGTGGTGGTAAAGAAGACACACTGTGCTGTTTTTCTGGGGAACTCTGGGTCTTCCATAAGGTAAAGTGACACGCTTAATAACCTTCTCTTGGGTCAGAGAGAGAAAATGAAACCACCATTCAAATACATTTAGTGTGCATGTTATGATATTATATAATGACGCGGTCATCTCATTATTTCCTCTATTAAGACCCAACTGAAAAATTATTGTTAACAGTAGAAAAAATAATAATTATAAAAGAGTAGAACCATAAACAACTAAAACAAAAGGGATTCACTGCCCTTTTTACCTATGAAAATTCTGAAAGATTCATGTTAATATTTAGGTTCACAAGAAGATACTATATGATTGCTAGAAATTTGAGAAACTGGGAATTAAATAGTATTACTTAAAATTCTTTAACATTACCTTAATCAATTAGTTTTCAGGACACACCAGAAAGAAAATTTTCTGGATAATGTGTGTACTTAGAAAACAAAAGTTCAAACTAAAATATGAGGCTAAACTGAGTGAAATAATAGTATATACCATTTGTTGCATTTTTTCCAAGTGTCAGGTACTTTGTACAGTTTTTTGTATATACCATCTAATTTAGTTCTTACATAGCCCTGTGAATTAAGGTTATCTGCCCATTTTACAGATGAGAAAACAGAAGCTTATAGGGGGTAAACAATTTTTCCATGGACTGAGGTCCTAAGTAGGCTCATATCCAAACCCAGATCTACTCAACTCCAAAAGCATCATCCTTAACCACAACACTCTGCAAACCTGGGACAATCAAATATTTCTCTAATCTGAACATTTACAGAGATTGTATATACAGACAAGTTCAAGTCAGGAATAGTGCAGAGTTCACCTTTTTATTCTTGCAATAAAGAACTATGGGCTGAGGAACTAAAGAAGCAAAGACTGTATCAAAGTGTATCAGAAACTATATCAAAGCAACACTGAATATCAAAGTCACAAGTGACAAGTGTCATCAACTGTCTACATATTCTTAATTTTCATTCGAAAGTTATAAAGAAATAACTAGTTAAATGAGTCAATGTATATTCTTACAATTAACTAAGAACCCAGTGAGACAGAAATTTAATAGGTATTTTCAATAAAACCATTAAAACCTTCAAAATCTCAAAACCCTTCCACTATGTTCATAAAGAGTGATTCAGCTTTCTACTTAATATATTATATGCTGTTTCCACTGTAAATATCCCTTCTTTCCTTATGACTAACAGTCTAGGTGTCAAGCAAAGAAATCTCTATGTTTCATTAGGTAGTCCTCCACTACTACCTTCATTTTACTGGGTATTCTCAAATAATGCCCCCAGACCAATGCGCTATGGTTGAGAAAAAGTCTGCTTCCATCTTTCAAGCTTAAGAGTAAATATGCCTTACCTTCTGCCATGGTGAGATTTAGCTGTGTCTGCAAATCCACAACTGGTGAAATCTAAAAAAGATAATACTATTATTTTAAGCAATGAGCAATGACATGTTTTGATTCTGAAGCAACTTAATTATTCTATCATAGGACAATGGTAGTTATCCATATCACTTGTCCAAGTGAAAGTTATTTTTTTAGATGAGAATAAAAGGATACGGATGACAGTTGCAAAAAGACAAAATTATCAGCAAAAGCACATTATTAATTGAAAATAAGAATTGCCACTTTATAATTATTATCTGTACTTAGTCTTTCTACAAGTCTAAGAGAAAATGGAAAATATAAAATCAACTACTCCCTAAATTTCTCTTTATGGACACAATTAAGTTTGCTCATAACTTGTCACATATTTTTACCTACTTTACAAATGTTATATATTAAGATAGGAGTAAAAAGGAGCAGTTCCAAATACCCATTTCGTACCAATAAATGATATTTTTGCCTTAATTTAAAATAGGTTTAGGTATATTTTAGAGAAAGAATATTATACTCAGTTTATAGTCAAGACCTCACTGCTAGGATATGGCACAGAATCAAGATGATCCAGGACTCAGATAGACTTCTCCCAGCCTGCAACCAAGTCCAGTCACAGCACCAAGGGATAAAAATAGAGGTGAAAATGCAAAAACTAGGAAGAGGAAAAATAAATAATACAAAGTCTGCATGTATCATACTAGGATTAAAAATAAACATATATTTATTCCCACTCATAAATTTTAATTTGGTCATTAAGTGTTTCCACAGCACATGCTGTACAGAGGGTGTTAAAAATCATACCCACTGAGTTCAACTTCTCAGCAATACTTACCGAGGGATCACAAGAACAGCCAAGGTTATCTCTGGGGTTTCTTGCAAAGGGGCACTTTCCCACAGGGTGGGCTTCTTTGGGATTCTTTGGGGTATAAACAGGATTCTTCAGAAGGTGGTTAAGACTTCCATGAGATCCATTATTGGGAGCAGGTGTTAAATTCAGTAAATCTGCATCAATTCCAAGAATGGTAAAGAGTTACTTACAAGTTTCATAATCAAATGGATAGTACTTAATGTTCAGACTTTTAAAATAAACAGTACTAGGATTTTTATTAAAACCAAATCTATATGAGTCCTTTATTCCCTACTCAAAACTACAAAATTCTCTTGAATTTTAGAGCATTTATGATTATGCTTTTCAAAATGGAAATAGTGATGTGTATGCAGTACTTCAGCATAAAATCACAGAATTTCAATGAGTATAATAACTATAGTTACCACCTATTATGCTCATCACTGTGCTAATATATTTTTATTAATCTTTATAACAATTTGGTGTATTATTATCAGTATTTGATAGATGAGTAATCGAAGTGCTTTGCTCAGGGTTTCAGAGATACTAATGTAGTAGACCTAGGACTGAAAACCAGCCTAAGTCTCATGCTATTAATAATAATAATAGAAAACACTTAAAGAGTAAAGCACTTAGGATATTCAGGTACTGTTTTAAGTGCTTAAGGATATATTACTTTCTTTTAAGTATATAGGCTCCGATTAAAAGAACTGTATTTAGGACATATTTAAGGTTGTGCTGATGTCCCATATCATTATCAGGAAAAAGGAAGCAATATTTAAAACACAATGGATATTTAGGCACTGTTTTAAGTGCTTAAGGATATATTACTTTCTTTTAAGTATATAGGCTCCAATTAAAAGAACTGTATTTAGGCCCTATTTAAGGTTGTGCTGATGTCCCATATCATTATCAAAAAAAGGAAGCAATATTTAAAACACAATACTCAACCATAAAAGTACTAGTCAAGAAGGCACAGAGTAAACCAAGAATATATCTATCTAATGGGTCCTCCTGCATTTCTACAGTCTTGACATTGCCATCTATTCAACTAAAATTGCTACCAGAGGTTCTGCCGTTTTGTCTGTTATAGACCCCAAACTCTTCTCTCTGGCTTCTACCCCATGATCTGATTCAGCTGTCATATAATTAAGCCTTGGGCCTAACAAAGTGCAATGTACTGAGGATGCACAGACCTCCCCGCTCTAAGTGTCATACTTCACCCATGTGCAGCCTAGTGGGAGAAACAATAAGTCATCAGATGGCATGTTGCACACATTGTTTTCAAAAGTGACTCCATATCAGGAAGAAGAAAGGTGGAAATGTGAAGGTCTGTCTGGCCTAATCATCATGTCCACAAAGGTGCCCACTATGTGATCTTCTCGTGATAATCCTATTGCAGCTCTGTTTCCAGAAGGGATGAAAGCTGCCTTTTACACTTACCACACATTAAATTATAGACTTCAATATTTTCAAAGGTATCAACTTCAATGCCGTGCTTAAACCCAGGTCCATAGCCAATAAATAAGGCCTAGATTGCCCAGAAAAGGAAGAATTTATCAATCAATTTCAGTTATATATGCAGTTAGAAAATAAATTATATATTACCCACGTTGTACATACAGAAACTGATTATATTAAGATAAGGGCAAAAATACTATGCTCAGTGGACTTTGTAGGATATTGTTTTAAACTCTGATGCATATTTAACCTATGGATATCTAGGATATTTGTCTTAGCTTTAAGATAATTTGACTTGACAATTGGAACAGGATGGATGATGAAATCTTTTTTCTCAGGGAAGTAGGATACAAATCCTACCATGACCACCTCACACAGTGATGTAGGATTCAATTAGATAATTATTGTGAGTAAATTTTGGTAATTTTAAAGTGTTAAGTAAATGTTAGATATTATGTTCATTTAGAATGTATTATATCTTTCTTCCTATTAAATCATTAGCTTTCATTTACAGTATAGCAATTTTCTTTTGGAAGCACAAATATAAGCAAAATAATTACTAGAAATTTAGTATGAGATATAAACCATATGTTTATGAAACACACATATAAACTTTGAACAAAGTTCTATTTAATGTAATGTCCAAAATAAAACAACTACCTGAAAGTATATGCTTCATTCTCATTCTGTATCGGTTTCTCTTTACATATATATAGACTATCATTTTTAAATGCATATGTTTACTCACTTGCATATTTGAAAATAGATTGTCAGAGCCATGAAATCCATTTCCACAAGGTTTCCTTTCTGAAGGACTCCTAATTTTGACATAATATGAGTTAATGATGTAAAGTCCATCCATAAAGCAAAATTTGTAACCATGACATTATTTCCATTAATAAAGAATGAGTAACTATTTTGTTAAATAGACCAAAAAAAGGTAATGTAAAACCACTGGCTTTGAAAAGCATTGAGGAGCCTACTTTACACTGTATTTTGTAGATACAGCAACTGTACAGAAAAGAAAAACCACTACCAGTGAAACAGAACTAGTTTTGAACTCTCTATTTACTACTGTGACTTTGGCAATTCAATAATCTTCTCTTGGTTTCAATTTTGTACACTTGGATTGTTTGTAAAAATTAAGTGGCTTAGCCTAAAGAAATGCTGGAACATAGTGGATGTTCATGAAATAATAGGGCAGGGACTGTCCCATCTCTCATATCCTTCTTCCAAACACTAAAAACACAACTCTGTAATAAAAGTAGAGGCAGTGAAACTAAAATTAACTAAATTCTGGTTCCCTGTTTGGGTTTTGCTTGACAGAGTGTTTATGATCCCTGATTTCCTGGCAACCATTAGAAGAGTTAATTATGAGGTTTTGAGATATTAACAATATTAACCATTCAAATAATTTTCCCAACACACCAATAGATAGAGGTTCATGGATGGATTTGTGTAACAAGAATGAGAAAACTCTGTACAGTGAAGTTCTGAACAACTTTCCATTCTTATGAAGTAGAGTTCTGCCATAAATTGGCCAGACTTTGAAGATGTTATGAGGAAAACTGTAATGTGCAGAAGAGATACAAGGGCAAGTGGTAAAACAAACGTGGAGCATAAGAAAGAATCAATGTGGATGTGAGGTGACAGAAGCTCTCAGTTGTGCATGTTCCCCTACCCCATCTGCCCTGGAACTTCTGGCAACATCAACAGACATTTTTGGTTGTCACCAACATAGAAAGGGTGCTTTTTCATCTAATGAGTAGAAGCCGGGGATGTTTTCAAACATCCCACGATACACAGGACAGCTCCCCACAATCAAGAATTATCTGGCCTAAAATGTCAACAGGCCAAGGTTGAGAAACCCAGGGATAGAGTGAAGAGAACCCTATTTGTGCAGTTTTCATATAACAGTATCGTTGAAACATGCGATGGTTACCTCGAATTACTCATATCAGGCTAAGTTTGCTGAGGAAGCTGTCAGAACTGTCAGAACTTACAATGCAAGTTGCCACTGAGGGTCCAAATAGAATACCAAGGGCTCAATTCTGTCATTATTGGCAAAGTGTAAACGCTTGGGAAAGAACTGCTTCAGGTAAGGTGTGAAGTGCTGGTTTGGTTCCCGGCACTGAAATTGTAGAAGGTCAATAAAAACTATTATTTCCATATTTTCTTAAGTGTAATCTTCTCTTGAAATTGCTTTCTAATTCTGTATGATTTTTTTTCTGACAAATATGTTGCCAGCCCACCAGTCACAGATGCAAAAAATAAATTGAGTTCTTACTGCTTATATAATGTACAAGTTGAATATCCCAGCTATTTGATATATATCAATTTTTATAGGAAACCCTAATTACTGCATAACAGTCCCAGGACTCTTAGACTATGTCACTAGATTATATTTTAGTTACCACTGATGATACTATTTTCAAACAGTCTTGTAACTATAATCGTCTGAACTTTAATACTTAAAATGTACCAAGTGGGAAAAAAGGTAGTATTGATAACTCAGCACTAGGACACAAACTAATTATTTTTAAATGGGCATAAAAAAAGACTGGTAGGAAATATATCATAGTGCTAACACTATGGTGTTGCTATATGTTTTTCCCTTCTATTTTTTCCAATTATTTCTTCTACTTTCATATAATCTAATAATGCCAATAAATTTTTAAAAACTTTCAATTCTATTTCAATTTTGGGACATGTCCTTAAAGATCTTTAAAAGGGAATTTAAATGTTAGCCCAAATACTCAAGAATTCCAATGCTACAATCCTAAGAATAGATTATGAACCTTTTTTCTAAATATATATTACACAAAACAAACAATAACTAGACATGGAATAAGAAAGATACTCACAGAAAGATTTTTGGCAATGCCTTCATAATTAACTGAAGGAGAACAAAGATAAGAATTAATAGTTAATGGTATGATACAATTAGAAATAAAAAGAATATAAAAATGCAGAATGTCAGATTCAGACCGTATATGTAAACACCAAAGCAGGTTTCAAACAAGTCATTTAAATCATTATATGTTAGTCATTGACAGGAATGAGGTAGATCTTTAGGAATTGCCCCATGCCTGTGAAATTATGTCATATTGTAAAATGAAAAGGCAAGTTACACAACATCTACCTATCCCTATATCTTTTCATTCATCTGACCATCCATTTGCCCATGTATCCAAATATCCACCCATCCATCCATCTAGCGCAAGTATGATTTTACTGTGCACAAATTAAAATGAATGTTTGACATATGCATAGCAAACTACTGGGAAGACACAATCCAAACTTAACAGTGTTTGTCTTTAGAGAGAGGAACTGAATTATGTATGAGGGGGCACTTAGGGTGGGAAATTGTTACTTTGATATTCAATGGTAATTCCAGAATTTCTAAATAAGAAAGATAAAGGGGAACTTAGAAGACAGGACAAACAGACTAATTTTGACTAGCAAGATAATTTTGCATGCAAGAAAACAGACTTATTGCATATTGTGCTACAAATCAATAAACATCTAGCTTTCTAAAGATTCTATTGCTAAACTTTATGTAAATTTTAGAAAATTATCCAGATTAAAGAAAATGTATTATATATACATATATATTTTATGTATGTATGTTGACAGATATGTAGTTTTTGCTTTGATTTGAGATTTTTAGGGGACTAATTTAGATAAGGGTGGAGCTAAAGTTTAGCTTCCCATTCTAAATATCTCTGGGCACTGCCATTGCCTGTATAGGTTTTACAACAGGGTTTATATCAACTGCAAACTGCTTTTATACATTTTTAAAAAACACTAATGAAAACTTGTCACCCATATAGAGTCTGTGCTTTGTGTCACCTTGTTAATATAATGACTAATATTTGCATAGCCATTTTCCTGCAGAGAAATCTATTTCTCTTCATGAAATTCAACAGTATTTATTGAAAACAAATGGCTCTGTACTGCCCAAACCTAACCCAATTCTGATAAATGTCAGAAAAGATTTTTTGTCTTTCCATTTCAAAGTAATAGTAACAAAAGAATAAACAAGATTTGCCCCAGGTATCTGAAAGTTACCAAGGAAGGGCATCAAAAAGAGGGCTTTAACAGAGGTACAAGTTATGAAATAGAGTTTCTTGCTAAAGAATATTTTAGAACATCTCTTAGCAGTTTGGACTCAACATGTGGTCAAGAGAGATTACGAAATATATTATTTTCTTTTTACAAAATCTATTCTTACTGTTTTTCAGAATGGGTTAAGGAAGTCATTTATGAGGACAAAAATCAGGTGTGAATAGAATTAATCAATTCTGCCAGCATTCCTCTTCATAACAGAATATTATTCTGGAACAGCTGTTAGTTATTTTAATGGAATGTCTTTAATTAAACTTGAATAAGTATAGCTGAACTTTTAAGTTATTTTTTTCTAATACAAGGAATCTTGAGCCTAATACAAGTAAAACAGACACTATAACATAAAATTGTACCGAACTCATCAAATGATATGCTTAGCCATGAATAAAAAAATGATACATTTTTAGACTGTGTCCTCACATTCAGTCCCACAAAATCCCTTTGGGTGCAGAATACCTGCACTGGAGATTTAATCATGAAAAGGAAATTAATTTTAATTTATGCACTTGAGTTTACAGAGACGATGATTTAAAGGAATGTATTCTGAATGTAATCGTATTTAAAGTTAGCATGGATATATACTTACATGTATAGTAGTTATCTGGGACATCAGAGGGCCTCAATCGGGCTGCAGGTCCATAAATAACTTTAATATTTTTAACATCTCCCAAATATTTATTCAGATATATATATTTCTTACAATCGCCTTTTTCCATGCCTAAGAGAAAAAAAAATCCCTAAACATGTTGCAATTTTAATAAAAAATTTAGCATGTAGAACATAATTTCTTTCACTTCTAGAGTCTAATTCAATAAACACGTGCTCAGGGTTTGTGATGAACATCCAATAGGTAGACACAGAATTTCAACTGTATCTACCATTTCACTTAAAAAAAATCTTCCCTTTCCTTCATCCAAAATTAGTTCAACATCTCTTCTTGTTTATGTATTATAGTATCTTTATGTGAGTGAGGAGAAATGTCACAGATTTAGACTGAGTATGAAAGCCTAGTTATTTTTCCAAAATCATCTAGGATATTAACTGGGAGTGTATAACTCGTTCCAGAACTGGAGCCTCTTTAGAATGTAACTTCTTATGACTGTTCCTAGAAATACTTTTCAGCAATTATTTCTGAAGCAAACAACAATAACAAGAAAAAAACAAACAGAAAACTTATTTTCTATTTTCCTGTATACACATTGCTTCTGTAGTCCCAAGGCCATACACAAATGTGTTTTAAAGGTCATGCTAAATAAAAATGAAATCAAAATATTGCCAAATTTAGTATTTTCTGCCAGTAATGTCAGACTTATCATGCTAAAGAAAACCGTACATAATAATCTGTTCCAATTAAAAATTTTAGAGTAGATTTACCAAAACTGAGTATTGTAAAAATATTTTTAACTATCAAAAGACAGGTGCATTTTGCTTGATAGGCTCTTAGATTTCTGTGAATTCTATATTTTACTTGTACTTTATATTAAACATAATTTTTTCCTAAAAACTTCCCATAAGAAACTATACTTAAAATAAAAAAAAAGAAGTAACTATGACAATCAGAGGAAATAATGAAATAATAATCAATTAAGAACTTTGGGGGGGGCACCACTCAATTTGACGGGTAAATGATGCAAATTCAGAGTACCATGATCTGAAACAAGGATGAGGTTCAGGCATCGATGCAAGTTCAGCTCTTTGAGACCATCCATCAGCATGCCAACCATGGTGTCAACCCTCTGTAATGCTCTGATGACCTAAGAAGGGGAAGCAATCCCATGAGATGCATTCCACACTAAGAGCTATTTCTACATAAAGCTATCTCTGTTAGTAAAGAAAAACGGGATGCAAATACTATGAAGAACTGATACACATTAGGCTATGAGAAGTCAGGTAAAGACAGGAAGAGCATGAAATAACACTGACCATGAACAGCGGAAGGGCCCAAACTCCCTTACTCAGTTGCATGCACTTGCAAATGTTAGCTCATCTGATTAGCTCTCCCTCCCTGAGCTTCAGAATGCTACTCTTTAAGAGAAAATCCAACTTAAACCAAATAGTAGCTTCAATTCAGTGTTTGACCAAAAATGAATGTATTCTTAATTATCACATCATTTTTTACAATTTCTCCCTGTATCTTCTGATCATTTAAGTGTTCACTGTGTAAAGCAATGTTTCTAATTTTCAAAATTATAAAATCATTCATGAAATGCTGCTTCTTGTTCCATGTACTTAATTTTTTAAAAAAGAACTTCTGGGAGTCTTAGAACCCATTATCTACTTACAAACCACAGGTATTTTGCATATGAATGTCACAAGGACACATCATCTTGCATATGGATGTCACAAGCACAAAGAATGCAAATGATATTGGGAAATTGATTTTGACAATTCCTCTTTCCTTGCAAACCACCTGCAGAAAATTCTTCTGTAGTTTTGCATATGTTTTTTGTAATATATCAAATCAGTCTAAATGATCCTTAGACTTACTTGTAGCCAAACTGATGTTACACATGGGTCTCAAGTGTCAGTGAATTTAGTGAAAAGAATAAAAATTAGAGTAGCATCTAGCCAATTTGTTCAAGCCAAGAAAACAGCTACAGGAAACTTTTCCCTTTCACTAATTATGACGTGGTCACATCTTCCTTACCCCACCTCTAAAAAGGAGTATTTCTGTTTAGTTGAAGGACAGAAGCAAAGCAAGGGTACATGAGGTCACAAACTACATTAGAGCTGCTGGAGTTGGGTTTTGATGGTAAGAAAATAAAGGGTAAATACAGACCTGGATACAAATCAACTTCTTTTGTCTTTCCTCCCTTTTACCTGATGATATAGCACCCAAGAGGAACCTATTCTTTAAGAGGGGCAAATCTAGGGTAAACCCAAGGTAAGGGAAACCAGAAGAAAGTTCAGGCAGCTGTTTTAAACTGAAATGAGAAATTTGAGCATGCTTTCTGTCTTCCTCCTGCTGTTGCTGAAGTAAGCATTTACAGCAAGTAGCACTGTAAAAATCAGGGCTCACAACAGACATGACAGGTCAGCCATGACAGGTCCATGACAATCCGGACCCTGAGATAAAGATTCTTTGAAGCTCATAAACTCTCCAGCCTAGGCTACTTAGACAGGAGAATGGATGGGAATTCAGGGGTGAAACTCTAGCTATTCCTAGCCTTTTATCTCTCAAAGTCACATGAGGCAAAAAAATAACAAGGATTCTGAGATTAGGGATCCTGGTAATATCTTTCTCCCATTCATCATGACCAACAATATTCACAGATCCTTACTGTTTCTTCTCATATCTTAGGTCACAGACAAACATAAATCATAAGTAAAGTTATAGCTTAGAGGGACAAGGAAAAAAGCTTAAATCATTGTTTGTTCTTCTGCTTCCTTTGCTTCAAGATACAAAATTGATACGGACACACAAAAACTTAATGCAGTATTTAATGTTTCAAAGCACTATATGGATTACAAACAGCCAAGAGTGAGCTAAATTCCTAAGAGTGTCAGGTCAAATAAGATGCTACATTAACAGCCTTAGTCCATGAGAGTTTCCCTATATCGAGTTTCCTAGTAATCACTCAATAAAAAAATGATTATTTGAAGTTCTCTGTACTTATGATAAACTCACCCATTCTTTAATGCCTAAGCTCTGTTTTAAGTATGGTGTCAGACAAAGATATATCTGTTATGGTGAAGATTCCCTAGGAGGCTTCTTATGCTATTTGACAGGTTCTCCCACATTTTCATAGAAAATTGGACTCTAACCCATCTACAAAATTTTCAAAGAACACTTAGATCTTAGGCCAATGTAGGAGGATAAGGAATGGATAAATATAAAATTTAATTTATCATCAGTTCAATTTAGCATTGTGGAAAGTATAAGCAAATCAATTCTTCCAATTCTAACTTTGATTAAAGTGCATCTCTTGGTTTAGTAAAATTATGTTTAATATTCACTCTTTCCAGAAACTATGGACTCTTACAGAAACAGGTCTTGAAAGCTGCTTCAAAGCAAGGTTCAGTTAGATGTTACTAGGTTCAATAAAGTAATCACTGATAAAAATATACTTACTTCACTGCTGACTGGTCCATATGAATGACCTGAAGAATCTGGTTCTTCTAAATACAGAGTGTAAAAGTGTGGTCTAAATCAAACAGTATCAAAATGTAATATTTTATGAACACATTATGAAACAGAATAAAGAATAATTTTTAACAATTGATAGTGACTAAAAATTCTACAACACTGGAGTAATATTTCTAAAGCGTGCTGACAAATAATTTGTAGGTTTGGAATTCTTCAAAATGTGGCTTCACAGCTCACTAAAAAGTTCTCACTAAAGAGACCACATAAAACTTCATAGCCAACTGCAATGTTTTCTTGTACTCTATTTAAAAATAGTGTATAAATTCTATAAAACAAAGGAGTATCAACAATAGAAATGAGTTGTCTGCATACCTTTCACCTTCAGGAAGCTGCAGCCACTTAAGAATAGCTGAAATTCTTTCTTCAAATGGTATTGAACTAAAATTAAGTACAAACAAAATTAAATCTGTGACAACTGTTTAGGCTTAAAATATAAATGTTTTTCTTATTGAAAATTGCATTGAAAGACTAAACAGTCAAACGCATCAATTATATTTGAAGCAATGTAAGAGTTTTATTTGAAAACTTAAATTTGTTTTTCCAACAAAGGAACAAAAGTTGTTTTACACATATGAAAGTTGTATTTGTGTTTAAAATTTGCTCTCCAGTCTCTATTTGAGAATATTACTCCATATCTGAGAATAGCAACTGCTACCACATGAAAAACCCATGTGTTAATACTTTCTACAAAGGGTATCTCATGAAGAACACACTCATCAATGCCTCTTGGTAAAACTGGAGTCAGTCACCAATGACTTCATTTTTCATTCCTGCCCTAAGATCTGAATACAAACCCCAACATGTTAACAGTACTTTCTAGAAAACTTCTAGAAAAATAACCTTGTCTAGTGTTATAATTTACCTATCTAAAATTTGAGATACAGTTCTTATTCTGACCATTCTCATTTTTTTCAGCCAACATACCACTCAAATGCTAGAACCTGGGCTTGATAAAAAGGAGGACCTGAGATTAAAAATAAGCTCTTCTATATTATAGGTCCTAGAAAAAGTACATTATGCATACCCATTGTACACTTTATAGAAGTCTGGGAGAATTCCTTGAATTTCCACTTCTGATCCTGGCCAAAAATATGTACCAGTCTTCAGGCCTTGATATTTGGCTGTGAGCCAAATCTGGGAAAGATAATGAAGGAAATTTACCAAAGAAGGAAATTATGCAAACATTCATCTCTTAGGAAGTATGTGTTCATGAAACACTAATGCATTCCTCTCAAGTATTAGAATGTTTCTGATGTTAACAAACTCCATCAGCTAGACCACAAAATAATAATGTAATGTGACACTGAACAGCAGCAAAAAGTATAGACATAAATCAGTTGGCATCTCCTGTACCTTTTAGAGTCATACTCCTGCTTAATAGGAGTTAAAATTCACAAATACATGTATGTTTAATTTATTAACATATAAATAATAAGAAAAATTCACAAATACGCATATGTTTAATTTATTGACATTTTTGCTTATGTAATTCACATTGATTAAGCACTTATTATTGCCAATTGCAGTTCAAATATTCCTATAAGCATCCTAGTTATAACTTAAATAATCTTCACAATAACACTATGCGGGAGTTAACAGTATGTCTACAGAATAGACATGAGAAAACTAAGACACAGAAAGAATAATTTGCCCCAAATCACATAGCTTTAAATGTCAGAGCTAAAATCTGAATTTATAACCTGCAAATTGAACATCATGCTGTTTCCATCTGATAAGAATATTAAGACTAACAGACCCTATGGAATTACTGGGGCAAATTTTAAAAACTTAAAAGGAGAACACACCTAAATCACAATCAGAGAGAAACTTCTAAGTTAGCATATGCAAACAAAGTCAGTTTGCCTCCTTCAGAAACATTTAGCTTTGTGTAAATCAAAATATTACCCCCAGACTACTGCTATATACTGTTAGTACAAGAAGGCAGAATCAAGCAGAAAAGAAAAATGCCTCAGAATAACCCAAACCCCCATCTGAAATAAACTATTCCTATTATATAATGATATTGTACTTGGGGTTATCATCATTCATCTCCATTTGACCACAAACACAGTGAATTAAGAAGGTTATTAAAAGCTGCAGGAGATCTGGTATGTTACTCTGAATGAAACAGATGAGAATAATATAAGAAATAATTTTAGTAGCTATAACAAACAACTCACTGGTTCTCCTTTGTACCACTCTGGATTAAATTTCTCTTTATTTCTAATTGCAAAGGAAGCATTCATTTTGGGATCATAGATATTATTGTCAATTATGCCATGTGATTCTGGATAAAGTCCCTAAAAAATATAAAATACAAGTTTCATTTAAGTTATGAGATTTTTAATGTTAAAAGTCATAGAACAAAATCATCAGAGAGAGACATATCCAAACCTACAAGGAATTTAACATAGATTAAGGAGGAATAAAACAACAGGATTGTCAGAATACAACCAATCACTCCAGGTTGTATGTATTATTTGTGTTTTAGGTTATGTAATAGGACAAAATGAGTTAGGCACCCTATGCCTATATAAATAGGCAGCCTCCCAATTTTTTTTTAAAAAAGTGCTCTGTTCTTCTTTTGCATTTCTGATTAAAGCATTTCTGCAAAACAAACTCCTTTTTGGGTGGGTTCAAGAATAGGTTGTATTAATATAACCTAAAGTGTTAAATTTCTGGCTTCAACGCTAAAGCCTAATGAATTCAACTATTTTTTTTGGATTCAAATTAAATCAGAAAACTTTGCCTGAAACAAAAACAGGGCTGTAATCTTATCTAGAGTTAGGGAAAGTGGCTTGTTTCAACTCAAACATCAAGATGACTGGAAAGACAAGCTGAGAATGCAAGAGTGTGAGGCAGTTTGGGGGCTCAAATCAAGTATTCTATAAAACTAGCAAGAAAATATCAGGACACCGGAATCAGAGACTCTCAAAACTGAAAGGAAGCCAAGAAACATTTCCTGGGGTCTTTAGTCACCTCCTTTCACAGCTGGAAAAATGGAGACCCAGAAGGTAAGGTGACCTTCCCAAGGGCACAGCTAGTTAGTGGCCAAGCAAAGACCAGAACCTACATTTCCTTTCTCACTACACACTGGAAAAGAAGTTTGTTTGTTTGTTTGTTTGTTTGTTTTTCTGGTCTGATATCCAATTATTTCCTTAAATATTGTCATATTTACATTTATTTTCTGTGAACACATAAAAGTTGAAATACAGAACTTACCGTGACGATGCTGTAGTGATTGGGGAAAGTCTTGGTGGGATATACTGGTCTCATGTTTTTAGTATACGTTCCACAGTTTTCTACAAGGGTGAACAATTGAAGATTGTTATTAAACCCAACTGACAATCTGTCTACCTCATTTAGCTTTGGCACTGCAGAAACCTAAACAGTATAAAAAAATTAACTCAGGAGTTCATAACCATAAAAATTCTGGGGGAATTATACAGCAACTTTGTGGATCCAAATTCAATGTTAAGATTTCATTTTTCTCTCAGAAAAACATTAAACAATACAAGCCAATGAAATACTTAGGCCAACTTATCAATTCCAGACAGACTATTTGTAATAATGCTGCTTGTTAGATCTTTGTCTGATACAACTTGGTGGTCACATACTTAAATTATAAGAGGTAGCTTTAAAAAACAACAACAACAAAAACCTGCAGTAGCTAAATCTGCAAAATTAAAACAAGGGTGAAAAGGTAGCTGGAGTGACAGTGTCCCAACCTGAAAATCCAGAACCAGCTAACTCCAGACAACTTTGACAGCACTCTAAAGACAAAAAGCATCTCCTGGCTTCAAAGCAGAGAAAGCACAGAAGTCAGACTGTCCTGAGTTAGCTTGGTGTCATGCTTCTCCTCTGCCTCTACTATTGAGAGAGGAACATGGAACTAATCATCCTAGCATTTCAATACCTGCTTGCCTGAAAATGCTCCTCGGATTGGCATGTGTTTGTCTGTCTCAATGTCTTCGTAGCAATTCAGAATTACAGACTACTCACTCAGTCAGGCAAAGCTAGTGCTTAAGCTAATTGTGTATTGGTTTCTTTTACATTTCACCTATAGGTACCTACAGCTCCTTAATTCTGAACTCAGGACACCATAATGGGTGCCAACAGGATGAATTTATCTCTGAATGGTAACAAACAGGTAGATTCAAGGTTCAAAGACCATGGGCCTATCTGATAAGAACAGAGCCTTCCTTACCCGAGCAAGGGCTTTGCTGAAGGCTTTTTATGTCAACTGGGTTTTTTAAATAAAAACTATTTTTTTCCAGGTAGAAATTAAAGACTTAAATTTTTTAAAGTTTTCCAAAAATTATTTTGGCTGTGACCAAAGAACTATAATAAATGTACATAGGTATTTACTGAGAGTGATTTTAATGTTTAAACCAATCTCACATACTCATCTGGTAAATAGTATTTTAAAATTCCAGAAGAACACTAAGGTGTATATAAATACATAGTTGTATTTACTTACTTCTATTTCAATCCACTGTTACACTGTAGCTACTTAAATACTGATCATTGATAATGAACAAAGGTCTAGTTTTTATACCCATATACAATTTCTTCCTTTTTCAGTAAAAATGATGATACAAGTGATACCCATATTACAGATGTTAATGTGACTTAAAACTTTGGCATTAATACTAAGGAAAGACCATTCCACTATTGCAAAAATAACTTAAAGAATAATCATTCAATCAAGACATTGGTTGAGACAGAGAAACTGGAAGGATGGTACACAATACTATAGGATAACTACCAGGCAAATATTCTGTATCTATATTACTAGTATCATATCAGAAATACCTTTAGTTTTTGAAATTCTATTTTAAGATCTAATACTTATTAAGTGAATGGATGAATGAATGACCTTTCCACAAAAGGAATCTAAAATTCAAAGGAAAAAAAAATACATGTATCAGCCAAGGGATGAAAATCCTAAGGTAAATGTATCATCTTGGAAGTATTTGAAGGGTAGATTCCAGGTAATTACAATGTTTAAGACTGGTTCCTTATCATTAGGTTCAAATACTTTGTAACAGAAGTTTGGTAAAACAATTAGATTCTGCCAGTATTTTTCCAAAAAACGACTGCCTCCCTAGTCTATCTCACTGACATTGTGACACTCTGTCAATTCTGAAGTTACTCACTTAGTCTACTAATAACAGGAAGAAGTCCACCCCAAGTGCGTAAATATTCTGCTCTGAAGCCATCCAAAGAAAGTAAGAGGGTAGGAGGTGTCTCGAACCTGGGTAATGAGAAAGAAAAAGAGAGAATATTTAAAGAAGTAGAAAGAAGACACACATCAAGTGAAGATTTTCTCCCTCCTTGCCACAGATGCAGTGAAGATTTTCTACTCAGATCAGTATGGAATTGAGAGCAAACTAACATAGCAAACATCCTCATAAAGGATATTTTACAGGCATTTATATTTATATACATGTTCTGCATTTCATTGTATCTATCTATCATTAAATAGTATTGGTTAAGCATTCATACCACTATGAGCCACCATACAAAGAATATCATTCATGCTTACTGCTATTCTAAATGCTAGACCAAATGCTACTAAAATGTAATAATATTTTCTCAATTTGCAAGAGAATGTTAATAGCATTTTTTGAATTGTTTCCATTAATTTTTTTTCCGAACAACCACATTCTGACATTGTCTCTACTTGAATCTAATAGATGATCATAGTAGACGATATGATCTTATCACATCACATAAGGTATATACAATATTTAGTTAAATTCAATATATTTGAAAAACATTAATATTTAATAGAGAGGTTTGAAAGGTATTTGCTACAAATAAAATATAAACAACAAAGAAATGATTCAAAGCTAGAAATGACAATAAGATTACACACACACACACATACACACACAGACACACACAGACACAACACGTATGTGGGGTGGAAATCTGAAGAGGGAGGCAAACGACACATACAATGAAGAGCATATCTGCTGAGCCACCAGGCAAATGTACTGCTATAATAATTTATGGTATAATAAAATGTGTTTTAAATTATGATCTTATTGTAAAGAAAGGAACAATATATTTTCACTGGGGTTAGCATTAATTAAAAAATAATGATCAATGTTTAAAGGAAAAGAAAGATTCAAAATTCACTGGGCTAAATTTTCAATATATCTTGGACTTAAAGACAGATCAGGATCCATGTGAAATCTTTTAAAAAGATCTGTTCTTTTGGAATACTTTGATTCAGGTTTAGTTTTTGTTGCTACTGTTAATGTTCTTTTTTGTTTAAACTACTCTCCCATCCAAAAGAAAAAAAATACACATCTTATAAAGTAACAATAAATTACACACATAAAAAATAAGCAAAAATACAGCTTTAAAAATTTTAATAGTTCAGAAAAATCATTACTTTAAAAAGGTAAAAATATATTTCTGAAGATAAATAATTCAAAATATATGAGTTAGAGCTTAAGTAGAGCAAAGGTAAATATATCTAACATTTTCATAAAATGTCCACCCTTTGAATTCCATATTTTTTCTGATGGCCTGGTATGTGTAAAGTACTGTACAAAATAAAGACAAAAAATATGAATTATAAAAATTATGTAACACCCTCTCACAGACATGTTGCTTCTCCCAAATGTTTAAAAATATAAAAAAATAATGAGGCTGTAAAGTAATTTGCTACAAATTCAACTCTCAAAACTGTTAATGAAAATAAGGGGCTTTCCTTCCTAAGAAGGAAGACACAATACTTCCACCCAACATTCATGAATTCTAGAGATTAAATATTCATGACTCCTCTGTTTTCCATTAGCTTCCCGAGTGAGGGTCATTCCATAATCATCTCTATACCACCAGCACCAAACACAAGGTCTGACTAAAACTAACATCTAATGAACCAGTGATTAATTATTATTTCTATTTTTTCAATTTGCTAAGAGTTAAAAAAAAAGGTACTTCTAAAAATAAAAAAATTAGTATCTCGGAATATCATCTTACCCTGCTGGACACTGTGGCTCATTAATGCTCTCACATGTTTCTTCTACCCAACTTTTCTCACCTAAAATATTTTCAAGAAATATAATGAGCTGGACACACTTGATTGTAATAACAACAATTGTGATGCTGTGAGATATATTAGGACAGATTCCAAAAACAAAATACATTGACAAATCTATAAATACATGGGGCATGATTTTAGGGAAATACAACAAACATAAAGAGTTATTCTGCATCAAAATAAGAGGTAGCTGGTATCAGGAAGAAAAAGAACATATAATTGCAAGACTAAAACATGTTTTAGTATTTGTGAGAACTTGCAGGTGTCTTTTCCATTTTCAAATAGGTAACATTTTTAGTCAAAATTTACAACCCTCCTCTCCACCCAACAAAATCTTCTGGTATTAAATCCCTGATGCCTTAGTTCTTCTCATATAGAGCTAGGTTCTGTTAAAGAATTTGAAGGAAACCAGTAACATCTAGACAAGACATCATAATAGCATTGGTTTGCATACTATGTTATAATTTTAAGCAGTAATTTCACTTCTACTCTCTCAATGCATGGCAGACACTGTCCTCACTTACTAGGAAAGACCCCAGGGCATAGAAGTGATCCAGAACTGCAAAATCAATCTTCCCACAAATACAGCATTAAGTATGCACTAATATCAAGATAACATGAGGGGATGGGTGGTGGCAGAACAGTGAGGACTATAGATGGAACAAGATTGGTCATGTGTAGATAACAATTTATTAGGCTTGCTGATGATTACAAAGTTCATTACATACTCTCTTTACTCACATATATGTTTGAAATTTCCTTTAATCAAATGTTTTAAAAAGTATTTTGTCAGCTGATATAGTTTATAAATATGACTCCTACTGAAAAAAAAAACACCTATGCAAAAACAGAAGTAAGATCTAGGAAGATGTCAGGCTGCTGAAGAACTGGATAAGTGCATGGAAACCTCACCTTGACACACAGAGCCATAGTTGATGCAGCAGTCACCTTTGTCCCTACAGTCATCTGAACAGGAGCAAAGGCTTCTGGACAACCTTTTCTCACCACACCTGAATTTACTGCAAGTCCATATATGTTCTAGAAACAAGTAGCAACAAAATACATTTATGGCCTAAATTCAACACATCAAAAATGAACACAGAATTGGTGTCTCCTGGAGCATGATCCATAAGAGACAATGAACTATTTCATAACTCTTACTCACAGAATCTGCCCCCACAGTGGTCAACCTGAACTAACAGACAGAAAGCATGAAGGCAACAATTACTACTATTTTGCTAAAAAAACAAGCAGAATTTCATCATTTTAAAACATGAACATAATTATTATTATACAATTCACATGTAGATTTCTTCCATCAGCCATTTTTTTTTCAGTTCTAAAAATTTAACCTAAAATCTAGCTCATTCCCATTTAAATATTATTCCACATCATGTGCAGGAAGTTCAAATCAAACTGTGAAAATTAGATATTTCCATATTCTGATGGTTTTATTTTAAAGTCTAAGTGAACATCTAAGAACTCTTGTAATAAACCCATAATGAAAATAATTCAATTTCAAGTATCCCTTTTGAACTTCATTTGAATGCAAATTAGACTATAGCTTTTTAGCATCCATTAAAAATAGGGACACTATTTAGCTACCCATAAAATGCTTAACAAAGGCAAAAACACATGAAATTTTTTTCGTTAAGGAAATATAAGGCCACATTTCTAAAAATCTCGAATGAGTTAGGTATATCACATACATAAAAGATGCAGAACTTTCCTCTGGTCTTCTACTCATGCCCATGACTCCATCTTTCTCCAGGCACATTCTTACCTGGTTCTATACACGTCTCCTGGTAATCCAGACAGCAGTTTCCAAGGCCAACACAAGCAACATCACAACGACAGCTCCCAAATGTCCTCTCAAAACAGCGACCTTTGCAACTTTTAACTGAAAATAGTAAATAATGAGTCAGATGTTTCTAATCATTAAATAATTCCAAAGCAAACACTAACTCATACACCTGTGTTAGATTCAAACACTATTTTAGAAAACACAGAGGAGGGTAATACAATTACCCAAGAATCTTCACAAATACACAAGGAAAAGTGACACAAATGGAAGGTAACTTAATGGAGAGTTTGCATTTTTTTAAAAAATCTCTTGCCAAAGGAAGAAACAAGAACAACTTTTTAATTTCATTATAAACCTTACTGGGTCTGGTAAGGCCGAAACACTTATGGTATGGGAAAGGAAAGTCAGAATACAGGCTTGTTCTGAATATTCTATGCTCTGAGAAAGTTGGCTTACACAGCCATGGGGGTCTCTAAAATGTCAAAAATGTGAGAAAAGGTTTTAAAAGTGGTTACCTATGAACATTTCAGGAAGAGAAAGATACCTGACGGACCTCACTGTCAGTCTTTGTGTAAAAAAGAAGTAATCTATTTGTGCAGGACACATTCTGCAGATTGCCCTCCTGCCCACCTAAAACACCCATCTCACCTTCAGATTAACCTGGTTCCCTCTGAGAACCAGTCCAAAAGTGCCTAGTCTAGGTCTGTGCTCCTTTTTAAAAGCTTTTATAACACCTTGTTCTTCTCCTCAGTCACTTAATTCTATTTGTAACTAGATTACCTGGTTAGTATTTTAGTCTCACACAAGATTATAAACTTCTTAAGAACAAAGACCACACCTGGATTTTGCCCAGCATACTGCATCCCTGTTACCCAGCAAGATGCTTGACTATAGTTGGTACTAGTAAGCTTTTGTTAAATGTAAACACGGTGGAGATGGAAGGAAAATACTTTTCATTAAAAACAACAATTTGACATTGTAACTCTTTACTAGCTATCTGGAATAGACTAGGTTTTTACTAGATTAATTAAAAAATAAGAATGGTGAGAAAAAAACTACCTCAGAGACAAAATAAAACTACTATAATATATGGCTGACCCTTGAATAATGTGTAGTTAAGGGCACTAACCCCAGGTGTTGAAACCTTCATATAACTTTTGATCTCCCCAAATTAAAGTACTAGTAGCCTACTGCTGATCTTACTGATAACATAAACAGCCAATTAACATATATTTTGTATGTTGTATACATTATATACTTTATTCTTACAAAAAAGTAAGCTTACAGAAAAGAAAATGTTTTTTTCAAATTGTCTCAAATCTCCAAAAGAAATTTCCAATGCATTTATTGAAGAGAATCCACATGTAAGTGGGCCCACACAGTTTAAACCCAGGTGTTCAAGGGTCAACTGTACTTTGATTCAAAGTTTTATTATTTATAGTAATCTTGTCAATGCTGGATAGATTTCTGCACTTGATTTAAAGAGAAAAAAATGTGTATGTTGAAGCTTAAAAATATCACTATTGCTTTGAAATTACCGATGTCCACCAAATTTTTAAAAGCCTTAAGGGTATATAATGGTAAGTTTCTGGTTGTCTAGGGATGCTAACTGGTCACCTAGTAACCTCCAGGGCTCCCTCAGCAACTAACTCCTTAGAGCAATAAGTATCCTAGTAAGTCCCTAGAGGAAGTCAGCCAGAGGGCTCCAGAAGCTCTGTTAGCTATGCCTATGTGTTTGTGTCTCTTTGTTTTTAGTTTTTTCTTTGTTTGGTTACTCTTTTGGTCACAGTCCCTTTTGTTGTTTTAGGATGATGTCGTGTGAGTAAATAACATGTCATACGTCTAAAATAATAGAAGAGCTTCAAGAAAGCTCAAAGCAGCATCAGATGTGTGATATCAAGTACCCACAGGATTAGAGCATAATGCTTATCTCAACAGCATTCTAAAGAAGGCTAAAAGCACCCCACACACATAGACAATTACTGTACTAATTACCTTCTTTGGCACAGCTTGGTTTCAACCCAAATATACAACCAAGGATTGTTGCTAACACACAGACGGATAATACCTATGGGGAGAAAAGGAAATTATATAGCTTCAGAATCCTTTTATGTCCTCAGATGTTTTATTTCTTCAAATGATTCTAAACTTGCTGGTTCTGCTCTTTTTCCTGATGTGGGTATTGGTCACACAGATGTGTTCACTGTGTGAAAATTCAGACTGCACACACATGCTTGTTTTTCTCTATATGTGTTAGACTTCAACAGTTTAATTAAATTAGTTTAGCAAATGAATCCAAGCCATCCAAGGTAAACACTGCCAGACATTTCTCAGTCAATGTAAAGAAATCTGTTGACAGAATGGAAGTTAATACCATAATCTGATAGTGCACTAGAGAACTAACAGATGTGCAAATATTACACAGTTGGATGACACAAATATTGGCAAGGATGGAAAGAGTAATGGAAACTCACATGTACTACTTCTGTAAAACCACACAATTACTTTGGAAAACAGATTAAAACTATTTGGAAAAGTTGGAGATATGCATTCAGTTCAACTCAGCAATTGAACTCCTATGTGCACAAGTTGGTAAAACTTACACACACGTGTGCAAAAAAGAATGCTCATAGCAGTACTATTAGTAATAGCCCTGTAATGGGAACAGCAAACGTCAGTTAACAGCAGAGAAGATATGTTGTCATGCAACAAAAGGGAATAAAACTTGGCAAGAAAAAAATGAATGAATTACAGATGCACACACTGCAATACAGTTGAGAAGATAATATTTAGAGCAACAAGGCAATCACAAAAGAATACAAACTAAAGAGTTACATTTACATGGGCACACAATATTTAATGTACATTATATAAAGTATATGCTCAATGTAAATACTTGGGAAAATGATTGAGAAAATAAAGAATATGATGTTCACCAAAAAAAAAAAAAAAGAAAGAAATCCATTGACAGAACTCCATATATCAATAAATTCACAGTCACTAAGTTCCTCCACCTGCATATCTGGAATCTGTTGAACAGCAGCAGTGTTACACCCAGAGTTAGCTATTTCTTCCAAACCCCATTTATATTTTATTTGAATTTCACTTCTAGCATTATCACTTTTCTTTCCTTTACTTCACTTTCATTGTTAGCAGCCAATTGCTCATTTTTATCAAATGTCATATACACTCAGCACTGGAGACAAAGAAACAACATACCTACATGCTCTGTTTTCTGTGCTGACTTGACCATGAGATGTACAATAACCAGTCAGAGTCACTGGTCACTGACCATGATATGCCACTACTCACAGTTAACAAATCTTGGTAAGTAAAATTTGAACCATGTTGTTGGAGGACTGGAGTTATGTAATTAAACTGTGGTAACTGAATTTGTGTATGTCAGGGAGGTGTGCAAAGCTAGGATTGCCTGCCCTCACAAGAGGGCAACATAGCTATCCCAAGGATGTTTATTTTTATTGGTATTCATAAAAACAAACAAAAACCTTAAATTCATTGACTTAAAATTTTAAGAAACTGGTTAAAAACATCAGTTCAATCTATACAATAAAATATGCTGAGGTAGTTAAGTAACCTCAGAGACAGGTGTGTCAGAAGAAGGCTGAGAAGGAAGACACCAAAAATAATGAGGTGTAGGCATAGGAAATTGGAAGTGACTGCCGATGGACCTCTTCAATCTTCTGCAAGTGAGAAGCATCTGCTGGGAATGAGGAAGCATAGGTGGGGCTCTGAGGTAATTAAGGCAGCTTAGGAAATCCCATATGAAGGATGGCAGCTAATCAGCTGCATCAATGGAAATCGAATCAACAAGAGTGGAAAACAGCCCAAGCTCTGGGACCCCAGCTTGACCTGAGGTCATGGATTGTCAATTCCCCCATTTCAGAAGAGGGAGTGGGGGAATGGGATAAAAAGGGAATAAGGTGTGGGAAGGTGGAAGGCAGGGAGGGCTAAGAGAGCGGCAAAGGGAACAAGAGACTCAAGGTGTGGCTGCAATGCCTAAGAGAGGACCATGTGCACATGGGTATTTGAATGGAGAACTCGGAGGGGCCAGGTGAGTGAGGGAGTGGGAATGAAGGAGGGAAAACAAGTTATGAACCCTGAAAAATTTCAGAGTCTAAGTATTAGAATTGGGACAGCTTAAAATGGAGATGAAACCAAAAGAGGAAACCTGAACTTGGTATAAGGTAAACTCAAAAGTTAAAGTACTTTTCCTACTAACTAGAGTTAACCTTTTACCAATAAATAGAAATCACAGTAACAGAACTTTATTTAGATTCTGACATTCATTGACTTAAAATGCATATTTCCTCACTGATGTAAGAAATTCAGTCATGAAAAGGTATTACCAATAATTCTACTATTCTTGCTAAATATAAAACAGTACTTGTGAACAGCTCTATTACAAACAAGTCTCATCTTGAGAAAAACTATGTAAAAGTTTGTGGTAAACCAACATTTAAGTGTTCAGCATGAATTTATAACACACCTAGTGTATGCTGGTTTTAACCTTCTTGTTAAACTGCGGAAGACGCATGCTGATTTATTTTTGAATCACCTCTTCACTGATAGATGTTATATAGATTTACCTTTTATATGATAACACAAAGCATGGAATTGAAACAAAGTATGAGAACAGAAACAATCATTTCTCATCTATAGTCACAACCATAAAAGATGAAATTGGAGCTCTCTCCTACTTTGTAACTCAACACCCTATCAGAATAGTTTTAAGTAGGAAATTACTCTTCAACAATTTTCAGAGCTATGAAATATAATTCAATTTGAATTTGCATCACAAAGTGGTTTAAGCAAGCAACAGCAAAATCTATCAACCACTTTTAGCTCTATAACAACCTAGGCAGTTTTCATATTTTCTTAAAAACTATAGAAAAACATTTTATCTTAGAAGACAGGGTGCTTGGCCAGGGGCTGAGCAGCTCTAGAGAGTAGAGGTTTTGGGCACTTGAGGGCGCCACCTACAAAGATGAAACATCGAAGGAATCTGGTTTAGACCAAAATCCCACAAACACCAGAAAGAGGACCAAGTGAAACTGAACATGCCAATCTTCCTGAAAGAGATTTCAAAATAAAAATCATAAACATGCTCACAGAGCTATAGAAAAATATTCAGGAACTAAGGGAGGAATTCAAGAGATAGAAACTTTGAAAAATACAGTACCCAAAATTAAACATACAATGGAGGTATTTAAAAGCAGATTAGGTGAAGTAAAGGAGATGGTAAATGAAATAGAAATTACAGAACAGCAATGCAAAGAAGCTAAGGCACAGAGAGAAAAAAGGATCTCTAAGAATGAAAGAATATTGAGAGAACTGTGTGACCAATTCAAATGGAACAATATTTGCACTATAGGGGTACAAGAAGAAGGAGAGTGAAAAAGGGATGCAAAGTGTCATTGAGGAGGTAATTGCTGAAAACTTCCCCAATCCGGGGAAGGAGATAGTCTCTCAGGCCATGGAGATGCACAGATCTCCCAACACAATGGACCCAAAGAAGACAACGCCAAGACATTTAATAATTAAAATGGCAAAGATCAAGGACAAAGACAGAGTATTAAAAGCAGCCAGAGAAAGAAAATGGATCACGTCAAAAGGAATACCCATCAGGCTATCATCAGATTTCTCAGCAAAAACCTTACAGGCCATAAAGGAGGGGCATGATATATTTAATGCAATGAAACAGAAGAGCCTTGAACTAAGAATACTGTATCCAGCTGATTATCATTTAAATTTGAAAGAGGGATTAAATAAATTCCAGATAAGCAAAGGTTGAGAGAATTTACCTCCCACAAACCATCTCTACAGTGTATTTTGGACAGACTGCTATATATGGAAGTGTTCCTAAGGCTAAATAGCTGTCACCAGAGAAAATAAAACCACAGTAAAGGAAATAGACCAATTAATTACTAAGCAAATGCAAAATTAAATCAACTACCCATAAAGTCAGTCAAGGGATACACAAAGAGTATAGAATACGATACCTAATATATAAGGAATGGAGGAGGAAGAAAAGGGAGGGGGAAAAGAAGAACCTTTAGATTGTGTTTGAAATAGCATACTAAGTAAGTTCAGTTAGACTGTTTGATAGTAAAGAAGCTATCCTTAAACCTTTGGTGACCAACAATCTAAAGCCTGCAATGGCAATAAGTACATATCTATCAATAATCACCCTAAATGTAAATGGTCTGAATGCACCAATGAAAAGACACAGAGTCACTGAATGGATAAAAAAATAAGACCCATCTATATGCTGCCTACAAGAGACTCACTTTAAACCCAAAGACATACACAGACTAAAAGTGAAGGGATAGAAAAAGAAATTCCATGCAATTAATAGGAAGAAAAAAGCAGGAGTTGCAGTACCTGTATAAGACAAAAGAGACTTTAAAACAAAGAAAGTCACAAGAGACAAAAAAGACATATAATGAGAAAGGGGTCTGTCCAACAGGAGGATATAACCATTATAAATATCTATGCACCCAAAAAGGAGCACCTACATATGTGAAAAAAAATACAGAATTAAAGGGGGGAATAGAATGCAATGCATTCATTTTAGGAGACTTCAACACAACACTCATTCCAAATGACATATGAACAAGACAAAAAATAAATAAGGAGACAGAGGCAGTGAACAACACATTAGAACAGATGGTCCTAACAGACTTCTACAGAACAATTCAACCAAAAGTAGCAGGATACACATTCTTCTCAGTGCACATGGAACACTTTCAAGAACAGATCATATATTAGGCTACAAAAAGAAATTTTACCAACCAGCATCAGACCACAAAGGTATGAAACTAGAAATAAATTATGCAAAAACACACCAAAAAAGACTACAAACACATGGAGGCTTAACAACATGCTCCTAAATAATCAATGGATTAATGACCAAATAAAAAAAGATATCAAGCAATATATGGAGATGATTAGAAACAAAACCTCACCACCACAAAATATGTGGGACGCAGCCAAGACCATGCTAAAAGGGAAGTATATTGCAATACAGGCTTACCTCAGGAAAGAAGA